ATATGACGAGCATTCGTTTCCCCAGTCATAAAATCATTAGCATAAGAATTCTTCTACCTGGGGCCGGAGCATCTCGACGGGATAACTGCGAGTCTTCGATCCTCAAACTCAATTTTTTTTTTACCACCCCTCCACCCTCCTCGACCCCCTCGCGACTATTTTTGCCATTTTGTTCTCTTGCTCTTCAGGCTGAAGTATCATTTTTATTATTCCTTTTTCACTGCCACGAACTCACTGATTTATAAACATATAATGTGACGGGGGTGTGGCCTCGCTACCACATAATGATAGGTCCACGCTAATTACGTTTGAGTCTTACCCAGCCCCTCTCTCGCGCCATCATTTTTTTTAATCAAAGGGCTTGCCATTTCGCTTGATGCAATTATTTCTCTCACACTTGGATATCATTTTAGGTTTATTGCTGAATTCAATTTATTTCAGGTGATTCTTCCAGAAATTCACGCATCCTATTAATTATTATCGAGAGTATGTTATAAGATTATAAGGTTGTTATAAAATTTGTATTGAACTAGTTATCGAATTGGGATTTCTCATCCGATTTTTTGTACTAGAATTTTTGAAACATTTTGCTTACTTCCCTATTTGCCAGATACACTCACAGTGAGAACAGGACTGAAATATCGGTGGTTCTTCCACCTATGTTAATCATCCGCATTAGCATAATACCGTGATTTTTCAAGCGTCGTTTGGAAATGCAAATAAATAATTTATAATAATAAGAGCGGATGGATTTTCTGTTGTGGCAGATGCACTCGGGAAAAAATACTCATCCTCTGACGTTACGAAATGGGATAATCGGGTGTCCGCTCTTTCCGGATTTCAATCCCATCGTTATCCCGACTATAAAAACCCCCTTTGTTTATTGAATAGAAATCTCCAATGTGAAATTTTTTATTTTTCCACTTCACGCGTCCTAACGAGTGCACAATTTACGCAGACTTTTATGCTCCACCTCCATCAATCGGTGAGATTTTTTTTTCTTCTCTATTCCAGTTCTCGGTCTTCGCCCTTTCGTTCACTTTAAAAAATCATAAAATATTGGGAATGAGGGTCTGTGCAAACTTCTCGTGATGTGTTACGTGTTAATATGCCGGTGTATTTTTTTTTTATTTCCCATTCTAATATTTGGTGAATGCTCCCAGGGTGTGTCGGGCCATCGATGACACCTTCCGAGAATTCAGAAAGGTTTTTATGAAGTCATTTTCGGGCGTGGAATATGATATATCCATGGGCTTTGAATTGTCATGGCAACCACCATAAACCCCACAAAAAAAAATCCCCACCTCTTTTCCCCCCGCGCTCACAAAAATCCATTTCATCCATTTCATGAAGAGTTTTGCTTTTCTCATTCACCTCTGAAAATCGTGTTTACCTTGTTATTTATTCAATCTCACTGGTTTTATTCGTGATCGTGTTGTGCCTAATCGATACTCGTTCTCTCGGTGAATAAAAAGGAAGCCGCACAGCGCAGAAAGAGCCGGTGGACCAATGCTGCACACGATTTGGTCTCGTGATAGTGAACGAGTGGCGAATGAGAATGAGAATACAAACTCCGAGTGCAATTTGTTGCCGTTCTCATTTGTCACTGTGCATCCACCTCTTCTCCACCTTTTGAATCTCCACGACGTGGGGCCCCCAACTCCAGAGAATCTCCTCCATTCTCGCCTCACCCTCTGCCCATTCCAATTTCAAGACATCAACATTCATTTTTATACCCACGAACGGCTGAAAAAATTTCAGATATGAGTAATAGCATTTTGCTCCATTCAATATGGAGAAATAACGTGTGTAATAATGATTTGGATAATTGGGGATCAGCCCCCGGGAGTTCGTACGATTTCACGAGACCCACGTAAGACCTCCGTCGGCACTTAATACCGTCTTCATAAGACCTTCGATGGTATATTGGCCGGCAAAATGCCCGCCTAATCCATACTCAATTAAATTTAGGTAATTGTCACATAAATTAATTTGATAAGAATTTATAAAAAATATTTCTCTTCACTCATGGTTGAGTGAGTGTTTCCACAAGAATTTTATTTGGAGAGGGAAAATTCTGAAGAAGGGAGTGAACAATAAGTTGAATTCGCGGCTTGAATTTAGCAAGGACTGTCACTTGAAATATTGTTACCTCTTTGAAAATCGATACTGTTGGAGTGGATTGTTGGTATATCTTGTATCCCGATACTCGTTTGACCCCGAACGGGGAAGACACACCGGTTGGACCTCGACAAGGTGAGCGTGCGGCTGGCGCGCGAGCTCGTTGCAGCAATACGTGCACAAGCTTCACATACACATGAAAACGAGATCCAAGGATGAAGGGAGCAGGAGGATGCCATCCAAAGGGATAGAGGCAATATCGTTTGAACGGGGCAAAGTAGAGTCCAGGGAGGCTCTACTACTCGAGCGTCCAAATGCGCCAGCGCAATCCCTGCACGTTCTGCACCTCTCGCTGCTGTTGTAATAACCCCAGTAGATCATAACTACATATATACCAGAGACAATGTCCTCCGAGTACATTGCGCACGTATCCTAGAGCAATCCCACGTTATTCACTTGATCCAGTTGCTCGGGGACACAAATTGCTCGACTTCTCCGGGAATAACTTGGAAAACTTGGACTTGCGTTTGGGGCGACAATTTTTGACAAGGAAATATGGATAGATCAGTGTGGAATAGCTCTTTTATGGAATATAGTATATAGTTGTTTACAATCCCTGAATTTTTAACAATCTTTTTTATATAGCGATACAACAGTTAACGATATTATTTTTATCAGTGAATTTCGCTCAATAAGATATCGAAATGCATTTTTTAGGTGTCATGGAAGTATTTCCGAACATTTTTCCTTTTTTGAAAAGCTTGAAAAGCTTGAAAATTTGAAAAACTGATGAATTACGCGAATTTTCATTGATATCAACGCCCAGGGCGCAACAATGGTACATACAAATGTTTTCATTAAAAATTTCAGGATTTCTTTGTAATGAACTTCTCGATCACGGATTTTAAAAAATACATTCCCCGAAAAATTCCTGGGGACTTTAATCCCTCTCTAATTTATTCCTCTAATAGATCGTTCCTCCTCCCCAGTGATGACGAGAAGTCATAGAGAAGTCCTGGATCCGAATTGATAATTAAACAACCCTCTCGATAAACAAAAAAAAACCACTGGTTAATCAATAACTCGAAGTATGAATTAATGATGGAGAGTCTTTGGCTTCATTTATTATCCATCCGAAGACATACACCTCATGAATGCCCAATAATCCGTCACTCTACCGAGCAAACGAGCGTTCTCTTCATGAATCACGTGGCGCCAAACTCCCCAGAGTGAAAACCATATATATTTCCAAGTATACATATAACTATAACGTTATAAGCTATGAGGTTTGTACATATCCTCCTCCCCTTCACCCCCCTTGGCATGTTTCTCCCTCATTTGTGTGTGTGGAAACGGTTAACCCGGGTGTTTTCTCTCACTCCAGGATAGTCCCTTTCACTTCGTCTACTAACTCCAGCTACCAAGGAGCACTGGAGAAGAATAAACACCGTGAGACCGAGTCTCGATAACTCTGGCCATTTTACGAGCTGTCTTCTCCTCCTTCCAGGGAAGTTGAATTGAAAAGAAATGGAGATTTTTCTAGACAAAGACAGATAAACATAACAATTGGATGTTTTATTTATGACAATTGTAATGCTTCGATCAAATTTTGGGTCACGAAAAAATTGAATTTAATTACGGAATCAATTACGCGAGTTATCAGGGGGTGGAATTCAGATTTTTATCGTTTTATCATTTTCATGATTTTTACATTCCACCGGCATTCCACCGACATTCCACCGACATTCCGCTGACATACCACAGATTACCTTGAAAATGGGCCAGCCGATGGGCGAAGATCAATCAAATAGAAATAAAAAAAAAATCTATTGATGAAATACCAAACACTCAGCCGTACAGATGATCTCGGTCTTGATGGGCTTCCCCACTGATTTGATAGTTTATCAAGAGATCCCAAGATTATTCATCACAATATGAACCAGAGCGTTATTGAAAACAATCGATCACCCGAAATCGCGCGATCTCGAAGACACCTTGGACCCCTATCTTATCACCTGGTGATCTCTTCAGGGGGCGTGTCATCTCAATCTCCTCTCGCGCATGTAGCATTTCCCTTCAGCCCCAAAGGAATCAGAAGGCCCCCTCCCCTATGAAAAAAAAAAAAGGAATCCCAAGAAAAAAGACATTCCTCGATGTCTGGGGACCAGCTAATAAAATCGTCCTACCTTGATTCCTCATGTATACAACGAGGGGAAAAAATGGAAATAATAAAGAAAAATATGTGTGTAAGAAAGAAGGATTTTTTATCTGATCGAATCATCTGAATATCGAGCAATAAAAAGTGAAGCTTCCAGATTGTATCTTCCTCTTCTTTACCGTAGGTGGAAAGGTGGAATCGAGGAGGAGGGGGAGGTGGAGGAGTAAGGAGGTAGAAACCCCCTTAACCCCCTAGACAATCCGCTGGCGCCGAGTTGCCCAGTGCTTCGTATATTATTTCCCAAGTCTTCCCAAAACTTATATACACACTTGTGTGTCGTTCATTCTTTCTCTCGCTTCTTTATTTCTTCACTAAATTTCTTGTCCGAGTCGAACCTGGTCAGCTTAATAAGAACAGTTTACTGCTTGAAGACACTTTTTTTTCTCAATCTCCGTCATGAATTTATGAGATACTGCTGGTGACTATTTATTTTTCTTTGTTTCAATATTTTTGATTCTATTTTGGTTGCAGATTTCAATTCGAAAAGAGAAAATTGTCGTCCTTGTCGTTCTTGCAAAGGAATTGGGTCTTTCGAAATTTTGAGAAAGCTTTTCCTCCCTTCATGTCCATTTCTAGTGGTATAGATTAGTTATGTATTGATAAGAGTGGTGTAAATGAAAGAATGAATCGAGATGATACTGAATTTTATTTTGTTTTGGTATTGAATTTTCGAGGAAAATGAGACAATGAATCGAGTAAACATCTATTCCTTCTAACTTCTTCGCATCGCCTGTATATTTTGAATCTCTGCAAAACAAATATTATAATATAGTACAATTCAGTCGTTTACAACCCGACATTTCTCTTTTTATCGCACATTATTCTCTCTTAATAGTTAAGCATTATACACAAATATCAGCATAATAATTACTATCGTTACAAATAATATTACTTAATCGATGGTAAATCTCTGTATGTACAGGCTATCACACATTATAATTGAAATAATTATTTTACAATTTTTGGAGGCGTTTCTCCGACTCACTTCCTCATAACTTAAATCAGTGAAGTTTACATCGAGAAAATTTAACTATGTACAAATGTCTTTCTCTCTCCCGCGGGCAATAACGAACAAAACTATACAATACAGCATTCCAATTGGACTTGAATTTAATGTGTGGACAATATGATAGTTAAAGGACCTAGAATATCGCAAGCGTCACAATTTCGACAGTCTAATCCTTAAAAACAATTTCCATGACTTTTTGGTTAGCAAAACGAGGCACTGATGTGGCTAAACTTGTACATTATTTCAATAAAAAAAAACCCAGTCATTCCTCCTGGGAAAAGCAAACGCATCAGTTTCAATGAAATAAAACAGTCGCAAACTCTTCAAAACTCTATTTCAACGCTCAATAATACTATTGATCGCACTCAATAAATTCACCCTGTCATCTATTTTATCTCGCTCTGAGAAAAAAAAATGTTGACTAAGAAGTTTCACTAGACGCAATAAAATATCAAAATTCAAGTTAAAAACGTTGAAATAAATGAAATTATTGATAACATCCCGTATTTTTAAAATAACCTCTTGTCTCGAATTAGTGAATCTTCTACATGAGGAGTGGTTTGCAGAATTTTCCGTGGGTTGAAATGGAATATTGAAAAATATGATTTAGTACTAAGTGAAAAAAAATGAAATAATAGGGGATGAATTGAGACGATGAGAAAGAGGAAGAGAAAGAGGAATGCTGGTGGGATTAAAACAAGTTAGCTCAGTATGCAGTGGCTTGATGATGCATAAGGGTGTGATTGAAGTGGTGTCCTAGGTGATGGGGTGGTGGTGGGCCGGGCAATGGGCTGTGCTGGGGTCCAACAGTCGGTGGTTGGCAGACATACCACTCGGTTAACTCTGGCCCCCTCGAGGGATGGTTGTTTGTCGTTGGGTTGGTTGGTGTTACTGTTGGTACTATCGAGGGTGGCTGGGGTGATTCTGTGTGTCCAGTCACTGATAAGCTTCCACCACTGCTGCTACTCTCCTCACCCTCGCTCTCGTATCCACCGCCCAGTTTTCCTTCACCCAGAGTCATACCGTGCACCTTGAAATTACAAAAGCCCTCATTATTTAATGAACCATGAATTTAATCATGATGTTTTAATTAAGCCGGTGGAGACGTGATGAGAGCCCTCCGGCAGTCACTTCTCAATATTTTTTTTTATTTAATTTTTTTTTTTTTTTCGTTGTCTCTTCTTCATAATTCAACTGGCAAATCTCGGCGACTGGCTTCCGCGAATCCACGGGTCTCGAGGGAACCCCTTATCGTCCACGTATCTACAGAAGTCAGTTGGGTCAGGCCCTCCTTCAACCCTATATTATTTTCATTTCTCTCTATCCCTCTCTACCCGAAACAGGAATTCACAGACGTAATTTTCTATTAATATTCCACGCTCGGTCGTGCGTTAAAACCGCTCACGTATTATTCAGAACATTTTTCCTACATTTCTGGGGTATCGTTTGTTTGTATTCAATTTATTCTCACTATTCTCGGAAAATTCATTCGGATAATTCAATACTGGATTTTAAATTCATAAAAATTAAACTCTCCATATCATGTTAATAAACCGTCCTCGCCTATTCCGCCCTTCGTACAATATCCAAACACCGGAATAAAAGCACAATGAGAATTTATTCTTACCTTCATGTGTTTACGCAACGAGCTGGGATGTGTGTATGACTTGTCACATCCAGATACCCGACAGTTGTACGGCTTGTCCGATGTGTGAACATGACTGTGCTTCTTGCGATCGCTGCTATTTGCAAATCGTCTCTCGCATCCTGAATATTCGCACTTGAATGGTTTCTCTCCTGAAAGAAAAAAAAAATCGAATCCAATTAGAAATAATTAGAAATAATTGACCACCAAAAGAAAACCGCAAAAACAATTACAACGGTTAGTACTGAATAAAAAGTAAATAAAGTAAATAAATAAGCGGGCAATCCCAGGCTTCGTGTCTCGTTGAAGTTAAAGCATAGGAAAAGACTCGGGGAAAAGATATCGAGAGATAAGGTCTCCTGAGCACGAATGGCCGCCCTCGGAACTCACCCTCTCCCTGCGGTAGGGAAACGCGTCTCCGAGCCCTGGAAAAAGGAGTGGAAAAAGAAGGAGACGAGCGGGGGAAAGAGGAAAAAGAGTGGCGTGACTTTATTTATATCAACCGGAAGTTGACGGAGAATATATTTCAGACGCCAGCCCCACTGCCAAGAGTGCCCTCTCTCCTCACCAGAGGCGCGAAAACGGAAGTGCAAAGTTGGTGGATTTTTTTTACACCAACTTTTTCCCTCTTACTTCCACCATTTCCCACACCCTTCCCCAGTTTTTATCTTCTTCTAACGTTGAAAATGGTGAATCCACTTCCTGAAGGAATAAAAATCCACCGCACGAAACGACAATGAGATAAAAAAAAGGAACAAGTCGAGACAAAGGATAATAGAAAGGGGGTAGAGAAGAACTGTTTGACTAATTCATTGTAAACTAATTGGTTATTCGTTTCACGGTGGACTGAGAAGTGTGATAAACGCATTTGGCTTGGCTTGTCCGATATGTCAACGTGACACGGATTATATTCAAATCGACGGTGCACAGTTGGACGTCGCACACCAGCGCAAAATCGCAAGAAGGTCCTTTTCCTGCTCCCGAGGAAGAATCCTTTAAATATTTATGAAGCTAACGGCAAGAATTCCATGGACCTCGACAACTTTCTAGAAAATTCTATTGAGTTTTATTGTGTCACGGGGGAAAGCTAAGTACGTTATCTCAAAAATTTACTGGAAATTAGTCTTGAAAGGTCGTGTACGGTTTCTCAGTTGCTACATTATTGATAGGATCGTTTCGATAAAAACACTCGATGAATTTATCATCATGAGAAATTATTGCCCTTATAATCATTATTGTATATTGCGTCGATTCACTTCGAGCATGGTGTATCGAATCGGTATCGAATGGTTACATGATTCTAACCGACTCGGTTCTCAACTCGGAACTTCAGGCTTATGAGCCTATCAACTTGGGAAGGCTATTCCCATTTATGTGCATTTTATTATTTCGGGGTCAAGTGCATTTGTACTATAATTTTATTGCAAATTGCAAAAAAAAAATTGGAGGACTCATTTTTTTTGGAGGAAAGGATGACTCCTCTAATGGAGGTACATATTTGATGATTTCGAGGTGAACTGAAAGAAATATTTCAGACTGACCAGCTCCGGGTTCAAAATTTTTTCAAAATCAGTAATTTTTCAGCAATGCAATCCAATTTCTACATTCACCGTCCTCAATCACCGAAACCTGAGAAGACGAGGGTGCCACCTTCTAGCACAATAAGACCACCAGAAGAAAAATAAAAAGAAAAAAGTTCGAAACGATTAATAATATTTCAAATCTGTCTGTGCCAGAGGGAGAATGAAGCGTTGAAGAAGGGGGCAGACAACTCGGTAGCGCGTTGGCAAATAAATAGAAGATAAATAAAAACTATATACATTTCTATTCTGTCATACGGTTGCGTGTGCAGATGGCAACAATGTGGGCCCCAGCTATCCCCCCAATGAAATATTGCCCGCGTTTGTGTGTCTCACCTCTGGCCAAAAAATCATACGATGCAGACTCTCATCCTCGAATGCCCCGTCGGCTCGTGCAATCCACGGAGTCAAATTCAAACTCGAATAATATTTGACTCGACGATTCTAAAGGGGTGGGATGAATTGAAAGAAAGACAAAATCATTTGAAAAAGGGATGGGCGAGAGTGAGTGAATCAGCGGCGCGCGCTATTCCCCGATACAATTTTTCGAGTCGGTGTATCGTGTTATGACTTTCAGAATGGGGAGCACAATGGTCCAGATCCGAGGATGGATAAAATAGTTATTATAATCGTTTGGTCCCGGGGACTTGTGGGATGGGGTCCGATCCCACTTTCAAAGCTGCTCCCTCACTCATTGGGCCCGCTCGAGACAGACAACGATGACTTTAAGAATACGTGTGAATTCAAATGGAATCGAATGGCAGACAAAATCATATCAGAAATTACACCCGATTAGTGATGAAACGTTTATTTTCACTAAATATTCCATAAACTCCTTTTATTTTACATATTATATTATATGAATATATGTAAAAAAAAGTATACCGAATGCTGCATTATTAGAAACAAATTTTCCTCGACGTGTCACAAAGGGAAAATTCTGAATAACTTTCAAGTCCACATTCCTTGGCAATTTAGTAAAATCCCCGGATATAGAAAATCTGAGGAGTAATTTATCAGTAAGAAGTCAGTCCTGAAAAAGATTTTTCAATCTTTGGTCCACTTTCAGGAAGGAAGCTCATTGAGCCGCAGTTTTCGGGAAAAAAGGTATAAAAAAATACATTGAAACGAGTGATATATGGGCGTAGGGTATTGTGAAGAGTGTGCAACGGGTCCTGCAGGCCAATGGGCCCAAGTATAATGGATGATTTTTCGCGTCTATTGTATCGAGGAGTAGGCCTAGGACACCATTCCCCACACCATACATTGTTATTGAGGATAGAAATCCCCTCCCTTCCCCTCCCTGCCACTTCTGGTGATGCACACCTTCTCACTTTTCCACCTATTCTCTATTTCATTCTTCATCTGGTGGAGAAGAGGAAGAGAAAAAAAAGTGGAATCGAATTGGAAGAATGGTTGATCGGTTCCACCTCCTGCCACCGCCACTCATTCTCGGTGAGTTCTCGAGTGGATAATTTTCTTGTTATTCGTTGGACATTAAGGGAACGAGCGAAGGCCCTCCAAGTGTAAATCGATCTGCGACGATTTGACACTGAAAGTGTAGGAGACGATGAGAAACAAGATGTGATCCTTGATAAAGAATTTTTGGAGAACGAGAAAGAGGAGATGAGAGACCAGTGATAACTATCGAGGGATTAACTCCTGAGATATTGGATCTAGATAAAAGCGGGGATACGACTTTTTTTTTTTAATTCCTTCGAATTCTTAATCTTTGGGAGTCATGTTTTACTCGGAAACACATGGAGACGAAAGAACAAGCGTTTACCGATCTGGGGGATCATGACACGCCTCGTCGACTTCTCGGGGGCTTTCGCGTGTTGCCAAAAACACGGGAGAGATTAGGAGAAGAGGAAAGTTATTCTCTGAAGGATCTGGAGGTTTAAAAGAACCGCAAATCCATGGGTAAGCGTAAAACTACTGGTTGATGCGCTACCATCATTCCGCCATGTTGGCTATGAAAAGGAAGAGCAGATGTTTCGATTCTATCCGACTGTGGTAATTCGAGTGTTTGTGTATATGCCCACGGACTAGACTGCTATTGATGATGTTTACTTGAGTAGCTAATTCATTTCCACCTTTGTGAGCATTCATTTGAGTTTAATTAGAAGGTATAATGATTTCTCCATTTGTTACTCTTTTGAGATTATGACAAATATCAAACGGGATTTGACATCGACGAATCAATAACACATGGAAATAAATACGAAATATATACATAGAAATATTTTAAAATAATAATTGCATTGTATGCAAAAGCGTGTGGTTAAAAAAAGTGAGCGACTAACTCGGAGAAATCCGAGAATGAGAATGAAAATTCGTATCTTGATTTCCTGAAAATTCGGTAGCACATACGTCTGAACGTGAGGGGCAGTTTAGGGTCGTGTATCCTCGCTGGTTATCCGAGCTCGTGATGCTACCGTCGCGAGCCACCAGCATCCCACATCCAAGAACTTCAACCCAAACGTGTGTTTCCTCCTTTTTTCTCCACCTCACCGCAATATACCACCGCAGTTCCAGTTCCACCCGACTATATCGTGTTTATGCAAACACACGCGTGTTTGCGAGTTAGAAAAGAGAAGTTGAGGATGGAGATCTTGTGAGACTTTCAGAAACTGCTGGATTGATAAAAGATAGGGGCGCCATGGAGAATGGTATGCCAGGTACGTATAGAGTTACCTCTGGAGACACCAGCATGATTATCCACATTCGTGGCGAATGTTCGGGGAATTGGCTCGTTTGATTCTGAGGATTTTCAGACAATTTCTGATCAACTCTCCTCATCTCTCCTCATCTCTCCTCATCTCTCCTCATATCACCGTTCCAGACTAATGGCCTCTTCCTATATAAAACTTTATTCCACTCCCGACGAAAAGTTCACATTATTCGTGGAACTTGTCACGTTCGTTGTGTTATGCTTTATGTTTTGTTTCTTGTCATTTTATTTGGACACTGACCCGTTTGTATATAGTTGTCACAGCGAGGGTATCTCAGCACCGATCTGTGGTAATTGAATATCTCCAGGCGAAAGAATGGTCGCTGCATATGTGCCACCAACGGTTCAGAAATATTTCCACTGATTTCAACCAAATAAATCAGCCCTTCCTCATCTGTTTCCAATTAATTACTCGATTGATCTATGAGTATCGCAAAAATTAATAAATAATAAAAAAAATATTAACTATAAATATTTAAATGCCCAAATCGAGGGACTTCTTCCAAAACAATAGGTCTTCAACATCGAACTCAACTATTTTTATAATTCAATTTATTTGAAATTTATCAAAATAATAGTCAATAACTCAGGATTAAATGAATATAGAGTAAATAAATAATAAATTCTCTACTTTGATGATGTTTTCACGCGTATTCTGTCTCCAGGTGATAACAAAATGGTTCGGCCAATTTCTACAAAAGTATGTTAAACCTCGAATAAAGAACATCCGGTGTAGGAAGAGCGTTAAAAACGTTCAAACGAGCATACGACTGAAGACTGGACAACTAGTAAATACCTATTGAGCTACAACCATCCCTCTGGTTTACTGTAAAGAAGC